ATGATCCCAGAGTCCTGGGATCAAGCCCCGTGTCGGTCTCCCTGCCCAGCAGGAGAGTCTGCTTCTCTCTCTCTCCCTCTGCCCCTGCTCCTGTAACTCACTCTCTCTTGCTCACTCTGCCTCTCAAATAAATAAATAAAATCTTTAAAAAAAATAAAGGAAAATCAAAAAGTAGTTTAAGGTAAGATGTAACACAAGGGTTCCATTAAAGAAACCATTTGTGAAAGAGGATGATAAAACATTATTTTATGTTATCAGAGCAGAGAATAGCAGGGAGTGATTTTTAGCTCTATTAGGCTTACTTCAGACTGCCATACCATGCAACCAGAAAGAATTGTATTAACACAAGCCTCTGATGTGTGTTGTTCTCATTTGTCGCAAAGAACAACACAACAAACCCAACTTGTTCAACTACAAAGAAAAATAAAAAAAGACTTGTATGAGGGGCACCTGGTTGGCTCAGTGGGTAGAGCATGCAACTCCGGGTCTCGGGGTTGTGAGTTCGAACCCCATGTTGGGTGTAGAGATTATTAAAAATAAAACCTTAAAAAAAAAAAAAAGAGTTGTATGGAAGATATTATAACAAAACTTAAAAATGTGTCACCATCCCTTAGAGCCTAAAACTGGCTAAAATATGCATAAAAATGTAAAAGATAAGTAAATAACAATCATCTTAAAATATTCAACTACTTTTGCTGAATATGAAAAATATTCTGTTTTTATTAAGTTTGTAGAAGCACTATTTTATTCAATGTTTAATTACATTGGAATTTTAAAAAGTAAATTTGACTAAATTTGAAACAATAAAAATACCTACCTCATTATTTTAAGTCAATGCAAATTTTCACTAATTTAAAACTCTATATTAGCATTTTAATATTTGGGGAGTTTTGGGAAACATATATTATTATATCTAAAACTGTCTTATAATAGACCTTAGAAATAAGCAAGTTTAATAATGGTTCATAAAACTTTACAAATATTCCTAACTTGTTTATTAATACAATGATAATTATATAGATTTTGATTTTTAATCAAAATTTCAATTATTTTACAATTTGAAACAAGTAAATATTTCTCATAATTCTCCTTTTGAGGATTAACATCATGATTGCTACAACTGATAACACTTAAAACACACATACACACACACACATACACACACAACTAGAAAAGACTATCTGGCTAGTTCTGTCTTAAAAATACTACTGAACTAATAATTAGGTTGGAATCATGATTTAAAATCAGTATGACTTAGAAAATATTATTATATAAAAATTCAAGGAAAGGACATTGTCATGGTCAGCTTATCGTTAGCAGTACTGTGTCTTGTACAAATTTACAAATTGTTTCCAAACTGACAATCTGTTTTAACTATTTTGCTCATTAGCACTTGAAGATGTTGGCTGAACATGAAAAATTATAAACTGTATCTATATAGACCCTAAATAGGGTAGTTCTCATGATTAAATGCTAATATTTTTAAATGTCTTTTTAGAACACAAATACCTTATTTTACATTATTAGGTAATAAACATGATCCACATACATAAACTTTTCACTCACATTTATAGAAATGATAACTTAAAAAAATTAAACCATTTTTTGATAGAATGGGTCCCAAAATGCTTTGACTTATTGCTTAGTAAAATACTACCCCCTGGTACCAAATCCCCAGCTTCTTAGGGAAGATTCCAGGGTCAACACTATGAACATCAACTATAATAATCCACTATAAGAAAGTACTGACCTCAGAAATTTCTTATGCGTGACAAATATTTATTTTACAGTTGCTGCTTCTGTAGTTACTGATCCTTCTTCACAATTTCATATTATTTCAGGTTCTCAAAATTCTATCCCTCTGGTGCTTCTGTTGCCCTAAGCTTATTTAAAAAAATTAGTATATGTAATTTTCACATTATTCTGCCTCAAAGATAGCTTCATACTTTTCCTGCAGCTTAAAATAAGTTTTTTCTTTTTCTTTTTTTTAGCGGGAGAGAGGGGTGAAAAGAGGAGATGGGCTTGGTACTTTGCTAATTTGAAGACTTGCTTCAGAATTGCTGGGTATTTCCTGACACATTGGTTGCTAAAGGAATACATACTAAGAGATGGCCATGGCCATGTTAGCACACTGAGGACAGCAGTTAACTCTTCCAGCTGAGACCAGAAAGGATAATATAATAATTTGCTAATAGTTATCAGGCATTTGCTATTTTATGGACATAAATAAAATATTTTATCTACTTTACAAAGTAATATTAACTAAAGTACACCTAGAGTCTATGAAATAATTTGCAACAAAAATTTTACTAGTTAAAATTTCTTAGGGCTTAGCAAATAATGTACATTTGTTAAAGAGTACCTGATACTTGTTAGTAATACAGGACAAGGTGTTATAAAACAAAACACACAGCTGGGAAGCATTTTATTTTTTTCTACTTCGTTTAACATTGTTCAGGACCACAAGATTTTAAAGGTCTCTTTTCGGCTTTTATGACTTAGGAGTACCACTTAAAAATATTTACTGATGCTATAAATATTACTATTTTTTCTACATATTAACAATGATAATAATGCCATATCCACTATACCTCTGTTCCTTTGGTCAGAAAGATAAACAGAAACTGAAATCAGATATTTAGGCATTCAAAAAAGGTTTTTCAGAGCACACCCAAGCAAACCTACATCAGCAACTGTTAAAATTAGTTTTAGTTGGACTTCTTAATAAGGACATACTGAAGCATGTATGAGACTTTTTAAATTATACACAATTTAAAAAACAAATTTGAATTGATAAATAAAAAAATTAATGGCCAAATTAAAGAATGGTTAAGCATGAGATTTAAAATATCTTAACTTTTAGGCTATTCAGAAATATATTTTGTGAATAATAAGAATTATTTCATAAATATATATGTATAAATATAAATATATATCTACAGGATCTGTGATGCAGGAGAAAACCTTTTAAAGAAAAAAAATTGCACTTTTAGATTATCAGGATGCTGCCATATTTACCCTTTGAATGAAATATAATTACCGTTCCAGATGCTTTTGGCACAAGTTTTTAGGTGAATATTGACACAATCTTAAAAACACAATGCTTTTATACTTTATTCACTGGAATATGAAGAATCAAACAGAATTTGGAATTCTGACCAAAAAAAAAAAAAAAAAAAAAATCCAGATAACTGCAAATGCTTAATTAAATACCAAAAATATGGTTTTAAAAAGACCTCAAACCTGCCTTTACATGTAGAGCATGTAAAATTTTATCAGCAACAGGTTTTCTGCAATCACCTCAGCAAGAATTCCCAGACTACACACAAATGTAACATTGTCTTTTTCTACTCATATATGACTTAGATCACACCCCAGTATATAAGGACAAAAAATAAATGTATAGTAAAAAGATTGGATAAATCAGGAGAGGCTTTTTGGTCTTGAATTCTTCACCCACTAACAATGAAGCAGCACTGTAGGCAGCCCAAAACACACCAAACAGCTTTAAAAAACAAACAAAAAAGACAAAAGGCAGTATATTAGCAATTCAATTAACATTTTGGGTATCAGAGAGTAAAGTCACATTTACGGTATTTTCTTAAAACAACCCTGACAACCAACTGTGATAAATAGTAAAACTTACTGAGAATGTTTAAAATTATTAAGAATGTTTGTCCTTGCTATGTTCCTTGTCTTATGCAAATGAAATCTTTTGTTATCAAACTTGTTTCATCATAGGAATCACTTGGGGTGCCTATTAAAAAGAGCATCCTAAGGGGTGCCTGGCTGGCTCACTTGGTGGAGCATGAGACTCTTGATCTCGGGGTTGTGAGTTCGAGCCCCACATTGGGTGTGGAGATCACTTAAAAATAAAATCTTAAAAAAAAAAAAAAGAATCTTGGGATTCACTCTAGCTCTGCTGAATCAAAATCACTAAGGGAAGGGTCTTAATATCAGTCTTTTTAACAGTGTCCCTGGTGATTTAAGATAAGGCAGCTTTTGGCCAACTGCTTCAAGAAATTTGGTTGCTGAAAGAAAAATGAACTGATTATTACAAAGTTAACCTTTTCCTGTTTCTTCTTCTAAGAAGTAGGAAAACAGACTAAGTGAAAATTTTACACAATGTTTATTAAGTATAACAGCATTTTCCCAGGAACAGGTAAAAGTATAGGGTTAAATAAAAAGGAAGAAAAAAATAACATTTTGGTCAAGAGTTTAAATAAAATGTACCATGGTTTTCTGATTATACACATACCTAATCTTAAATTATTTCCACCAGAAATTTATATAGTACTTATTAAAGTAGTCACTAAGGCATTTTATAGACTAAAATGAAAGGAAGAACTTCAAGGGTAGAAATCAGGGAAACTATGATAGAAAAAGACATGGTACAGGGCAGGATTTCTCAGCCTCGCCCTATTGACATTTTGGGGCTGGATAATTGCTCTTGGAAGCTGTCCTGTGCATTGTAGGATTTGTGGCAGTATCCCTGGCCTCTACCCACCACATTCCACTAGTAAGATTCCACTCCTAACTCATTTGTGACACCCAAAAATGTCTCCAGACATGGCCAAATGTCCTTGGGAGGCAAAACTGCCCTTGAGAACCACTGGTAGAGAGGTCAAAAATAAATATTGGCAGACTGAAAATGTATTTGAGATGGTCCAATTTTCTATTGTGTTTTTTAAATTAAAACAAAAAAACTATAAAATATTTTAAACTTTCAGGAAAGTATAGGGAAATATGTAAGATGATGATCAAATTGCCTTTGTATGTCAAACATTTTTTGTTATAAATAAATGGTTAAAGATTAGTAAGAGTTATAGAGATTTAATGTTAAAAAATAGTGCTGGTAGATTAATCTGTATTCTAATGCTAGATTTAAATGACAAGAGTTTTGCAACATATTTCTCAAAAAATCTTGGACTGAAACAAACATACAATAGCTCACTATAAAAAGAAGATTAAACAACTAGGAAAAAATTTTGGCAAAGAAAAATCTGAAGTTTAAAACAATCATATCCTAAATTTTTAACGATATAAAAGACTTTGCCACTTTGTAATAATACGTTCATAAGTTGCATAAAGAATATTAAAGACCAACTTTTAGCTGAACTCAATTATTAAGTGACCAGAGGACACACAGTTTTGTCAATTTGGGGAGTAGTCTCAGAAGTATTCAAACAGACTTTAATCCAAGTTAAAACAACACACAAACAGGAAGGATCCCGAATGATTCAGTAAAATGGTATGTTCACTAAAGCTAGATAATTAAATGCCAGCAATGGGGCTAGCTTCTGCACTGCAAGACTTGTAAGCTAAGTGCTAATAATGCCAATCAAAAAAAAAAAAAAATTAAGATTAGAATGGAGAGAAAAGAATGATATTCTACTTGGTCTCTAAAATGTTCATGCAATTCTAACATACAAAGATGTTCTCAAAATATTCTTTCATAACATTTGTAATGACAACAGCTACCGCTTGAGTGCCTACTCTGTATCAAGCATATATCCTTTACCATCTAGATAACAGACCCTAAAAATTAGTTGTCAAGATTCCCAGTTTGCAGAGGAGGGTAAGAGAAGATATCCCCCAAGGGAGGCAGTAGGTAAGTGGAAGAACCAGAATTTGAATTTAGAACTGAATGGTTCCAAAATCCACACTTTTTAATACCCAGTGCTTATATGTCAGTATTAGCCTGTAGTTACTCAATTCTAAAAGGAATCATTTCTTTTATATTTGAATTAGTAATCAACTTTAAATAAAACCGTATGTCATAAAAAATTAAGTGGCTCTACTTAAAAACAAATACTTTAATGTGAAGGCTACATAATGGCAGTTTTGAAAGTGGTAGCCTTAAGAAGTTCTATAATTTTTCATAAAGAAAAAAATTACATTCATTGTATAATATACATACATACGCTAAAGCAGTCATTTATTTCTGAGAGTTCAAAACTAATAAATACCAAAATTTAAGTTATTTTACTACTTATTAATACTTAATATTATCATTAAATATTTAATATGGATCTATATGTTAATGTATTAAATTTAACACAGCATAAAGAAATCCTGATCTCTACAATACAGAAAAGCCAACTTATTACAATCATGTCTATCATATTTGATAAGGTAGTTATTATTCAAATAGGAGTAAAGTTATTAATGTCTGGTAAAATTTTTTTTTTTTTTAAGATTTTATTTATTTATTTGAGAGACAGAGAGAATGAGAGAGAGCACATGAGAGGGGGGAGGGTCAGAGGGAGAAGCAGACCCCCTGCCGAGCAGGGAGCCCGATGCGGGACTCGATCCAGGGACTCCAGGATCATGACCTGAGCCAAAGGCAGTCGCTTAACCAACTGAGCCACCCAGGTGCCCTGTCCGGTAAAATTTTAAATAAATATCTTCCACAAAATCTAAGTCACATGAAGTTGTATTATAAACACAGAGAAGAAAAATTCATCACTAAAAAAATTATCTGAGTGTAGTATCCTGTAGCCTTATTTGCTCTTTGTTCTTTACTCACCCCTATACATACATTATAATTTTTGGCGATCAAAATGGGAAAATAAAAGATATACAATTGGTAAAATCAGTGAGTGAGATCACTATTCCAAAACCCTTAAAAATGTTTGATTGTTACAGATTACAATCTTCTTAGGCAGATAACTAGTATACTTTTGTTCCTGGAAAACCGTTAATTACTTTTTATAATATACACTACTTACTTTTATAAGTGTAGATACCACTTCAAATGATCCAACCACCAAAAGTATAGGGGCTATTACAATGAGAGGAAGTAGTGAATATCCTATAACTCCAAGAACTTGGCCATATGCAACCTGTGAATTTTAAAGTTTTAAATAAATATCACAGAAATCAAGATAATTATTTTAATCACTACTGAACATCACATATTCTTGGTTGTACTTACATAAATATGACAAGAAGAAATCATCAAGTATCCTATGCTTTATATTTCAAATTATCATGTTATCTGCTTTGTTCCTGGACAGTCTCATCAGCCCACCATAGTTTCAATTATCATCAACTTTCTGATGATACCCAAAATCTACATTTCCAGCCCTCTCTCCCTTTTGAGACCTATATATTCAGTTACCTTCACTATACCTACAGTATATTCTCTTACTACTTCCCTTAAAGTTGTAGAAGGATTATTTAAAGGGACCACAACCATCTTATTCAAACAAAAAATACAAGGTCTAAAGAAGCTATGTGTGACAAATGCAGACTAAAAGGGAAGGGAGGGCAGGCAGGAGAGACTGAAGGAAAAAATATTTAGTGACTACCGTGTGCCAAGCCCTGTGACAGATCAAGACAGATCAAATGCAGCAACAATCCTATGAAGTAGGTATTACTGCCTTCCATTATGAAGAAACTGAATTTTAGAGAGGCTTTGTTCAGGAAAGCAAAACTGGTAGGAGGAAGAGTTCAAATTAAGATCTAGATCTCTCTCCTTTTTTTTAAAGATTTTATTTATTTGAGAAAGAAAGGGAGAGAGCATGTGCACATGCGCGATTAGGGGGAGGCGGGTGGAGGGTGTTGGGGGGAGAAGGACAGAGGGAGGGGGAGAAGGAGAAGCAGACTCCCTGCTGAGTGTGGAGCCTGCCAGGATCCTGAGATCAAGACCTGAGCCAAAGTCAGACGCTTAACTGACTGAGCCACCCAGGCGCCCCTAAGATCTAAGTCTCTTAACTCTTATCTCAACAGTCCTAAATTACCAAGACATTTAGCGATACCTATTTTCGTATAAATATTACACAGGGTTGTGTCAAAGATATAACAATATGTGAACAAATGTAATTTTAAGTCTCCATTAGAATTATTTTAAATTTTTATATGCAGATATATGCAGAGTGAAAAAGTTTCATAGATAAATGTTATTCTAAATTTATTCAACAGTTTTTAGGTTAGGATGATGGACTGAACACATTATCTAATATCATTCCCTCCTGAAACTATACTAAAAGGGAAGGGGGGAAAAACCCTCTTTATTTATTTATTTGTTTATTTGTTTGTTTGCGGGGGTGGGGGGTCCATGCTGAGCAGGGAGCCTGATGTGGGGCTTGGTCTCAATTGGAGCGAAATCCAGAGTTGGACGCTCAAGAAACTGCGCCAGTCAGGCACCCCAAAAACTTTTTTTTTTTAAAGAGGCATAAACAATGGAAACAAAACCATAAAATAATCATGGGATTTGAAAACATTGTATATACCTGGGAGAAACAAAGTAACAGAAAAATTCATAGAGGCCATATAGGTTGGTCACTGTATAAAGGAGAACTGGTTCCTAACTGATACATTAAAAATGTATAAACCTGAAGGCACACCTCAGCACTCACCACAAGAAGTAATAACTAAAGGCTCACTGGGCTATGGATGAAACCCCTGAGCACTCTACTCTCAGAATATAGATAATGCAGATCGCGTTCATTCTCATTGCTCATATACCTTAGACTATTCATGATAATGTAAGCCCCAAAGTATGTATGAAATCATGAATAAAATGGAAAAAAAATAACACCATCAAAAGGACCAGGAACAAAAGTCTGATCCTAAACTCTAATAAATCAGACACATGAAATAAAAAGAATGAGTATAATGAAAGAAAAGCCATTTATAAGAATCAAAGTGTTACTCTGTATAAGGTAACTGCATTGCTTTGGAGAAAATAGTTTGATGAAAGCTATTTCCTCATCTTTTATAGTAATTTTCAGTTGTGACACTTTATGAATGATGGTATTTTCATATCATTCTTTGCATTTTTCCTGGTGTATAATTATATATTCTATATCACAAAATAAAATTATGTGTTTTATTATATTAATAAATGACATAATTTTCTTTTAAAAAAGAGGCTTAAACAGAAGAACAGAAGATGGGACAGCAACACATAATTTTGGAAGCTGGAAAGCAGATGAACGAGAGCTAAGTAACAGACTTGGCAGATCTTTCTACCAAATATGAGAAAAGGGCTCAAAGTCTCTGCATTTAGCAATCAATGTTCACAGAGTCAGCACCCACAAGGTAACTCTGCCTGGCAACCCTCTGTTCTACTCTCTTCACAGAATAAACCACTAGGGAAAAAAAAAACACAAAACACTAGAATTCCTAGGTTTAGAGTAATTCACAATTTACAGTAATTCACAAAGTCTTTTTTAATGGGGCAGCAGTTCTGAAGGTGTGGTTCATGGCCACCGAGCGTCCCAGAGACTCTTCCAGAAGAGTGGAAGGTCAAAACTATTTTCTATAAAAATAATAAAACATTATTTGCCTTTTCTCATTGGGTTCATATTGGTACTAACAGGGAAAATCAACAGTGGGTAAAATGTACTACTTTACTTTTCAAGGTAGCACAAACTATACTAGTAGTTTCTTTTTTTTTTTTTTTAAAGATTTTATTTATTTATTTGAGAGAGAGAGAATGAGAGAGAGAGAACACCTGAGAGGGAATAGGGTCAGAGGACGAAGCAGACTCCCTGCCGAGCAGGAAGCCCGATGCGGGACTTGATCCAGGGACTCCAGGATCATGACCTGAGCCGAAGGCAGTCGCTTAACCAACTGAGCCACCCAGGCGCCCTATACTAGTAGTTTCTGTACTCTTCACTACTATACAATCACAGAAAAAGAAGAAAAAAAGCTAGTTTCACTTAAGAATGTCCTTAATGAAACAGTTAAAATGATTAACTTTATTAAATCTCAACTTTTGAGTATGTCTTTTCAATATTCTGTACAACAAATGTGAAGTACATAGAAAACATTTCTTTTTTTTTTACGATTTTATTTATTTGTCAGAGAGAGAGCACAAGCAGGGGGAGCGGTAGGCAGAGGGAGAAGCTCCTCAGCAAGGAGCCTGACACGGGACTCGATTCCAGGACCCCGGGATCATGACCTGAGCCAAAGGCAGATGCTCAACTGACTGAGCCACTCAGGCATTCCTATAGAAAGCATTTCTGTTGTACTCTGGTTCAATGGTTATCCCAAGGAAAAGCACTTATAAAACTGTTTGAGTGAAGAGTTTAATTAGATGTGTTTACCATGGAACACCATTTTTACTTGAAAGAACAAATGAAAGACAAACTATGGTTATTCAGAGTTGGGTATCTGTAAGCATGTTCTTTTTTTGAAGATTTTAAAATAAAATCTTTAAAAAAAGTAAATAAATAAACTTTAGTCTGATCTACTTAAAGATGGGTGGTGATATTAATGAATGAGATTTTCTGATACTGTACGTGTCAACATTTGAAAGATTTACACAAAACTCAATGAACTAGTGTTTTCCAAATGACCATGCATGGGTAAAAAGATCCACCCAAAGTAAATTTTAATGAAACAGAGTGTGAAAAGTTCATTAATATTGTTTGAGATTCCTTACTACAACAAACCTTTAAGAAACTATTACTTGTTGAATGTAAGTGTAGTTTCAGAGAAGAATATCCACAATCGTCTTAAAAAACTATTAAAATACTCTTCCTCCTGGGCACCTGGGTGGCTCAGTCAATTAAGCGTTTACTTTTGGCTCAGGTCATGATCACAGGGTGCTGGAACTGAGACCAGATGGGCTCAGCGGGGAGTCTGCTTCTTCCTCTACTCCTCCCCCTGCTTGTGTGCGTGCGCTCTCTCTCTCTCAAATAAATAAATAAAATCTTAAAAAAAAAAAACTGTTCCTTTTCCAATTACATAGGCTTAATGCCTCCTTTTTTTCATATACTTTAACCAAAACAATGTATCATAACAGACTGAATGCAGAAAGCAGGTATTAGAAACCAGCTTCCACTAAGCCAGACATTAAAGCTACTTGCAAAAATGTAAAACAATGCCACTCTCACCACTTTGTTTTGAAAAAGTTGTTTTCTTTAAAATGTATTATTTACAGGGCACCTGGTAGCACAGTCAGTTAAGTGTCCGACTCTTGGTTTTGGCTCAGGTTGTCAGATCAAGCTCGTATTGGCTTGATCTCTGCACTGAGTGCAGAGCCTGCTTAAGATTCTAGATTTCCCTCTCCCTCTGCCCCTCCCCATCACACTCTCTCTCTCAAATAAATAAATAAATCTTAAAAAAAAAAAAGTATTACTTATGTTAAAATATATTTGGTTTTATCTTTAAATGAATAAATATATATTTAAAATTTTTATTTTAATTTCAAATATGATTAAGTATTGATAAATAAAACCCACACAAAGAAATCTCCTTGGGGACCTAAGATCAAAAGTTTGAGAACTGCTATACTAGAAAATAAATTATATGCTTCCCTAAAAAGCTTTAAATTACTTATGAGTGGTATGGGATCTTTTCTTTCTTCTTCCTTCCTTGTAATGTTTATTGAGTATGCACAATACTAGTATGTTATCACTTACGGGAAGTAGTATAACTTAAAACCAATTCTGGGACAAGAAACAGTTATGATGAATATAGCTATTGATAATATCTACAATACCAAAAATAAAGTTTATGATAAGAAACAAAGGCTATTTTCACAATCAACTACTTACTTCTCCACCAAGAACTCTGGCCAGTAAGAAAATTGTTAGGGAACCAAATATCCAAATGGTTATAATCCATGAGACCACCTTAAGGGAAAAAAAAAATTCATGCAGTTAATATCTTTGTACCAAATAAGCTGATAATTTCCCTGAAGTCAATTCTCTGCTAATATAAGATAGTTTGGTATATCCAATTGCAGGTTATAGTTTGAGTTCCCAGTATCTTTCCAAAACCTAGTAAGAATGCAATGTATTAATACAATTTTACATCCAAAATGAAAATTTAGCAATGATCAATTGCCTAAGGAAATCTCAGTATTTCAAGATCTATGATCAAATATTACTGTAAAAAAAGAACAAAGTATTTACTTCCAAACCCCTGGTTTACAACATCATGAAAGGAAAATTCATCCCTGAAAGAAGGTATAGGTCTTCTTCCGAGGTCTTTAAAATTTACATTAATTACATATGTATCTAAGTGATAGAATATGGGATATGTTTCAGACAATTTTAACTCCTAAGACTTAGTGTGATAATGATATATGCCTCTGTTTCCAAGTTTTGTCTGCTTGGAGGGTCTAGAAATGATAAAGCCCCAATAGCAAAATAAGCATACTTATTGCCCAGATCCTAGTTTCTAAACATCATTCGCTGATAAAAGGAACTAGGATTCTTTTGATAAATAATTGATTCCAGGGTTGGGGCAGGGAAGATAAAAGATGAGCCCAGAACACTGGAGTTAGAAGGAAAGGAAATGCTCAAAAAACTAATGGGAAGATGTCAAAAGGACACAGAAGCTAACCTGACGGAGTTCCCAGTGGCTAAAGCTGGAATAATCTCAGCAAGAAAATAAATGATGACAGCACTGGGTTATAATCCAGAAAGTAAAATAAATATTCATGATTCCATACTGACATAAATAAATAAAAAAATAATTAAGCAATGGCAAAGAATGGATAGCTGTTCCATAGAGAATACCAATCAATACATGTGGAAGGAATAAGGAAAACAGAAAACCGCCATTCAGTAAACATTATAGTAATAACTATTGAACTCGAGATCCACCAATAGTGAGCTAAAGTTTGATGACAAACACAATGTCTGCATAAAGTATCTCCATATTTATTTATTAATTAAAAAGGGAAAAATAGCAACTTCATAGTGGAGGAATTGGGAAGATACCACCTCAGCACCAGTAAAAGATATATCAATATCACATACTCCTTGATGGTATACTGAGGTGGACACAAAATAGTATCATTGCCAAAAATTCATGACCCCAATCTAGTCATAGAAAACATCAAGTAAAACCAAACTGAGCGACGTTCTATGGAGGTAGTAATCTGTTTTTAGCCTTACAACCCTTTGTTCAAATCAAAGATTATGCAAAATAGATAAAATTAGAGATGCTCTAGATGAAGGATTAGTGGTGAGTAGTAGACCAGAATCCCCATTTTACTTCAAGTCATCTCATATTTACAAGAGAATACCTGATATAAACTACTGATCTCAGGTAAATATTAATAAGACTACTGTTATATTACCTTAAGGATCTTGCTATTGGGAGTTTATTCTGGATTATCCAAATGAGCACTAAATGTAATCACAACTGTCCTTAAAAAAAGGAAGCAGAGGGAGTTTTGACTACAGTAGAGAAGGTAATGTGACCATGGTTAACAGAGGTTGTAGTAATGCCGCCAGAAACCAAGGAATGCTGACAGCCTCTAGAAGTGGGTAGAGGTGATCAATAAAATCTGTGCTGGAGCCTACAGAGGAACCAGCCCTGCTGACATTTTGATCTTAGCTCCTTCAAGCTCATTTTGAGTTTCTGACTTTCATAACTGTAAAAGAATAAATTTTCACTGTTTTAAGTCACAAAACTTGTGGAAATTTGTTACAGAAGCAACAAGAAATGAATTCATTTCCAAATCATTCAGTGATAGTTATTTTTTACTTCCCTAAACTAGGGATTAAGGAGTAATGTGTGTATGTTGTGTTTTGATAATAAAGCCCCTGAGAGAAGAACAAAGTATTACATAAAAACAAATTCTGATGGAATCCTTGTCATTATTTATTAAAATATTTATTTACTATTATTTTTAAAAGTAAGCTCTAGGCCCAACGTGGGGCTCAAACTCACAATGCCGTGACCAAGAGTCACGTGCTCCACTGACCGAGCCAGCGAGGAGCCCCTAAAATATTTATTTTAAAAATGAATTAAAAGGTAAGAACATGTTATGAGTATTGTGTTTCAAACTCTTCATCCCTTTAGGGAAATCATAAAGGGCAAGGGCAGCCCTTTTGGTCACTTCTAGTCACTGGTCACTTCCACTCAGCTTAGAGTAGTCCCTGTTTACTCTGTTTACTCCAGTTGCAATACCGTTATAAATACTTTCTATGTGAATGATGATGTAAAAGTTTGGAAAGCATTAAAGTACTCCCCACTTATTTAATTAAAAAGAGTTCCAGGGGCACCTGGGTGGCTCAGTCATTAAGTGACTGCCTTTGGCTCAGGTCATGATCCCAGGATCCTGGGATCGAGCCCCTCATCGGGCTCCCTGCTCCACGGGAAGCCTGCTTCTCCCTCTCCCACTCCCCCTGCTTGTGTTCCCTCTCTCTGTGTGTCTGTCTCTGTCAAATAAATAAATAAAATCTTCAAAAAAAAAAAAGTTCTAGAGATGAACAAGTTAGAAATAATAGGTAAAAGTAAAGCATTTCTTAAACATATGTAGCATTACAGTTAATGTTTGGCTATTTTTAATTTTAAAACTCTTAAAATATTTCAAATTTGTATAAAGTAACATATACTTACCCTAAACTGTCCATATAATGATATCATGGAAAAGAAAAGAACAATAGCCAGAGGACCCCAAAAGTCAGGATTGTCCCTCACCACTTGTCTATTAAAACCAAGTGATGGCATTGGCATCAAAACACACCGGATTTTGTAGTAAATATCCTTTAGATCGATATCCAATTCCTCCCTATAATATAAAATAAAAATTCTTAAAAAGCGTACATTTCTGAATACTGAAACAGCTGCAATAAAATTTAAGAAAAGTTTAAATATGACCGTGCCATCTCCACTGGTCAACAAAGCATTGCATTTGAAGTACAGTATTTCACTGATTCCATGGTATTTTCAACATTTTAACCTCTCTAAAATCAGGATGCTTGTCACAACTGTTGGTGTCTTATCTTGTCAGCCTGAAGTGAAGCCAACTGCTTCCAATATCTGCCTTTCCATTTTCCAGTCTCCTGGAGGCACTACTACTTTGGGACAACTTTAAATAAAGTCCTCTGCTTGAGCCCTTCTTGAGCATACCGATAATTCAGACTGCAATCCTATAGGAAAACTGGTATGGGGTTTCCATTCTCCAATTTTTCTTCCAACACCCCACCCACTGGCAAATTGAGATAAGCAAACATCCTTGCCGTCTCTTTTTGTATGGTGGGTTATTTCTCATTTATCCTTACACGAAGGAGACAGCCCTTTGATGTCTTAGCTTTATGCTGCCTTACATACTGTTTCCTCCTTATTGGTAAACATAAAATAACTGCATCTTATAATTCAGTTTTAAATTTGATGAAATATGGTATATTAAGGAACATTTTAGCCCTTAATCTACCAATAATTACCACAGAGATTAACCTGATAATGTCTTGATTTTACAGAGCTATAGGTTCTTTCCCAAGTTGTTAAATTCTTTACTTTTTTTTCCCAAATGATAATCACTCAAAAAATTTCAAGTACTATGAAGAAAATGAAAGACTCCCTATAGTCCCGCCAGCAGTAGCTCTAGAATTTCTATATGGGAGAGATTTTGGAGTGCTAATCTTTTTTGAAGTTTTAATTTGCCTTAAACTTAATTTCTACAACAAGCACTCTGCTTTTTCACTTAGATTGAATGTTTACTTGAGATAGTTATAGGCCCAAGTAAGCCCTAACAGTCTGGAACGTGTGTGCGTGTGCGTGTGTATGTGTGTGTGTTTGAGCAAGCGCAAGTGAGAGAGGTAAACAGAATTATGATTCTTTCAATTTTTGCCATTCAGAAGGCTAAAAATATTCTCTCATTATTTTAATTTTTCTAATTACTAATAAAATTGAAAAATACCTAGAAGTTTAACCAAAAAGGTTAAGATCTGCCATACTTGTCTTTAAATAACATGAAAGAATATAATCATCTCATAGACTAGTTCTAAAAAACTAAAAATATATATTACTATTTTTACATACAAGAGTGGCTTGTTATCTTCAGGATCATCATCTTCAACTTCCAAAAGCCAGCCATATCCTCTTTGTCTCAGAAATGTAGTAGCTGTAGATTCTTTAATAAAATCTCCACCAAGGTTTAATTTGACATCTGGGGATGCTATTGAACCACTGAGATCTTAGGAGAAGAGAGGACAAAACTATAAATCAAGATAAAAATGTGTGGATCTTAACCAACATGAGCATAATATTCAAGTAAAATAATTATCATTTGAAGATCTCTAACTATGAATATCTGCTATTGCACATAATCCTCATATTTTATAGCTGATAAACATCTAAAAGACATCTTTTATTTTACAACAAGAAAATGAAAGATGAGGGAAATGAAGACATTGAAAAGATTTCAGATAATTAGCTAAACTGGTAAAACAATCTAGACTTACAAAAGCAACTTTATATGGAAGATAGATATAAAATATATTACATGATATCACTTTGGATTCCCTTCATTATTACGTACACTATGTGCTTCAGAACAAAGTGACTGTACAAATTCTTTCTAAAGGCATTATACGTGTATATATATAAGCCATTAGATAGAATTTGCTAAAGAAAAACTGCAGATGATTTTCCCCTACATTTTCATGTATTTATTTACACATTCTTTCATTTAAATCACCAAATATCTATGCTAAGTGCTTTGTATACTAATGCTTGGTTCTGGATAAATTTGACTAGTAAGAGTTCCCTGCTATTTCAGCTCTTTATATAATTACATCATTCACCTTTAGTTTGGACAAAAATAAAGGTGTTCTGCGGTTTTTGTTTTGTTTTGTTTTTAGGGCAGCTCTAAAAAGAAGTAAAGAGATTCAGTTATCCACATTACAAAATAAATTCCATTCACAGTCTCAACAGTGCCTCAAAGGTTACAGATAGGTATTAAAGAGGGCACGTTCTGCATGGAGCACTGGGTGTTACACGCAAACAATGAATCATGGAACACTACATCAAAAACTGATGATGTAATAGGGGTGATTAACATAACATAATAATAAAAAAATAGTACAAATGCCACATTTTCTGGTTGAAAAAAAATGGGAATAGTAAAGAACTGAGGTCATACAGGAATTAAGAAAAAAAAAATCTGTAGGACCAGACAATATGCACTATTAAACAACCATCACTGCTGTTAACTAGAAGCCACATGACTGGAGTGGTAATTTAGAAAATAATCTTGGCAAGGACAAACCAGAACACTCTTTAACACAGACTCTCCTTCCCTGGAGATCATACACAATATAAAGAAGAACTTAATTTGCACATTACTCTAAATTCTAGGTTAGTTTTTGAGAATTGCTATTAAAATTTTGGCTTAAACTTCAATTAATGAGTGGCTCAATTATGAGTCACATCGTATTCTGGTTGTGACAACTCTTGCAATTAATTGTAATAAAGTTTGTATTCTGGGACGCTTGGGTGGCTCAGTTGGTTAAGCATCTGCCCTCAGCTCGGGTCGTGATCCCGGGGTCCTGGGACGGAGCCCCACATCAGACTCCCTGCTCTGCGGGAAGCCTGCTTCTCCCTCTCCCCGTTTATGTTCCTTCTCTTGCTGTGTCTGTCAAATAAATAAAGTCTTTAAAAAAAAAGTTTGCATTCTGAGGATAAGTCCTAGTTTAGCTACTAATACTGCAAATCATTAATGTCTTCTGTCTTCAGTTTCCTATTCAAAATTCTTTCCAGGTTTAACAGTATATGGTCCTAAAAAGTTTTTATAAGGGAGTTGACTCACCTAGAAATAAAATGCAAGTACTTTTGAATTCGCTGTCCTTCCCTATTTAGTTTAAAAATAGCTATCATAGAATCTTGGGACTATTCTCTGAAATGACTTTCTGCTTGTTTTAATCTAAGTTGAAAAATAAATAAAGGAGGTGAAATGTAACAAATTCCATTTCCAATAGGTACAAAGAGTGCTTTTCTTGATCTGACAAGAGGAAGATTTAGATCAGGAAGTCATTAGCATGGCAATAACAGTAAAGGCTTTAGAATTATGAGGCAGGAAAGGACCTTAACTGTTTCCTGGTCTCTAGAAAGGACTGCACTTAACAGTCCTTAATCTAAACAAAAAAGGATATATAAATTATAGTGCCAAGAATGCTGTGATAAAGAATTATATGTTTCAGGGGCGCCTCGGTGGCAGATGCTTAACGACTTAGCCACCTAGGCGCCCCTATTTATATTCTTGTCATTTGCTAAGTAAAAACAATGTAAAGATAATAAATATAAGTGGACTTATTTTTTTAATATATATTTGGTTTTTTAAAAAGATTTTATTTATTTGAGAGAACGAAAGCGAGAGGTATCACAGAGGCAGAGGGAGAAGCCGACTTGCTGTTGAGCAGAGAGCCCAATGTGAGGCTTGATCCCAAGACCCTGAGATCATGACCTGAGCTGAAGGCAGACACCTAACCAACTGAGCCACCCAGGTGCCACAATATAAGTGGATTTTTTTTTTAGATTTTTATTTTATTTATTTTACAGGGAGAGAGCACAAGCAGGGGGAGTGGCAGGCAGAGGGAGAGGGAGAAGCAGGACTTGCTGCTGAGCAGGGACCCGATGCAGAGCTTGATTCCAGGATGCTGGATCAGGACCTGAGCTGAAGGCGACACTTAACCAACTGAACTACCCAGGCGTCCCTATAAGTGGATTTAAAAGAAAATAATCTTTGAAAAGATCTACTGCAAAAGGAAATCTTAAAAATGTTTCCACTTGTTTGCCTCAGAGTAAGGAAGAATATCAGTAAGTTTCAAGTTTTACTGAAGGCCACCTGGAAAAACTGCAGGATAAGATTTAATAGTAATTTTCTCTTCCCTTAAACTCAAATGTATTACTAGATGAGGGATCTTTTCTGTGAATCCTCTCAGCCTGAGAACCTCACTTGGAAAGATGAGGAAGAACTCGGTCAGTGCTATAGGACACTATACTCAGGATAAGATTTACTGATCTGCTCCTAGTTCTAGTTTTCTGAGAAAGAAGTGTCCTGCAATAAACAACATTTTGTTGATACTTGCTAACTTCTTATATATGTGAAGAAGCTTTTTCTTATTTAATGAGCAACAAGGGCAAGGATAAAAATTCTCATTTCATGTGAAAATGAAATCCATGTGTACTTAATCTAAAACAGAATTGAGTATTTGTGCAGCAAAACAAAACAAGCACATGTCTCACACTGAAAGGATAAATTCTATTGTTCCATTTTAGAGATAAAAACATTTTAATGTTTGCATAGGACAATGTAAAGAGATCAAGAAGCCAATGGAAGTAAATAATGATCTTATAATTGCTAGGCTTACATTGGAGTTTGATGTTATACCGTAAGAAAAAAATTTTTTTAAAGATTTTATTTATTTGAGAGAGAGAGAGTGAGAACATGAGCAGGGGGAGGGGGAGAGGGAGAGGCAGAGGGAGAAGGAGAAGCAGACCCAAAACCCTGGGATCATGACCCAAGCCGAAGGCAGACACTTAACCGACTGAGCCACCCATGAATAATAATTTTTATTATTCACCCCATAAGAAAAAATTTTAAAGCCTCATATAAAATTGTGTCTTAGGTTATATTTTTATTCGTTCTATTTTGATTTATTGTTTTAGTACCTTTACTATTCAATATTGTCAGTAAATTTTTATATTGTATATATCAATTAAAATCAATTAAATCAGGGTGCCCAGCTGGCTCAGTTGGAGAACATGTGACTCCTGATCTCAGGATCATGAGTTCTAGCCCCACGCTGGATGTAGAAAAGACTCGAAAAAAAATAAACTTAAAAAAAGTCAATTAAATGTCTTGAGCCTATCTTTGGAAAAATTAAATCTCATCTTGGCATAAATGTTATTTAACAGAAATTTCTTGTTTGTCTTATGAATCTTTTAACTGAACTTTTTATTTTGAAATAATTATAGATTCACAGGAAGTTGCAAAAATAGTACAGAAAGGTTACATGTACCCTTCACCCAGCTTCCTCCAATGGTACCATGTTACATAACCACCAAAACCAGGACACTAACATTGATAGAGTTTGCAGACCTTATTGAGATTTTACCAGTTTTACATGCACTTATTTGTGTGTGTATGTGTATACAATTCTGTGCAATTTTATCACTTTTATAGATTTACATAATGCCTTATGGATTTAAAATTTATGAAAATAGTTTAATTTTTTAAAATGGTAAACCTTGCTTAACTACCTTTCCTCTCCCCAAGAGGCTGCCTAAAAAGTCATTTTCAACTTTCAAACAGGGAAGAAAAGCTACTCTTGCACCCATTATACACCACATATCATACTTCATTAGCCTATTGTATAGAAGGTATTTGTGATAATATCTACATGGACATACATATTTTTTTAAAGTAGGCTCTATGCCCAGTGCAGAGTCCAGCACAGGGCTTGAACTCACAACCCTGAGATCAAGACCTGAGCTGAGATCAAGAGTTGGATACTTAATTGACTGAGCCACACAGGTGCCCCTACATGGATATAATTTTTTTAAAAATCAAGTAGGAAATTTTTATAAAAAAACAACAACCTAACAATTCCTTTGTCTACACTACTAACCTGTATTAGAGATAATGTCCTTTCTGGGGAGGGAGAAATTCAGACCAAGAGTAGGCTAAATGTTTGGCCACCTTAACAGAAAATTATCACTTATTCAAAAGAGCACTGATAATAATTATTGGATTATTATGTCTACAACTTACTGATTACAATAATGTACTATGAGTTGTAGATACTATCATTTCTTTCTTTTTTTTAAAGATTTTATTTATTTATTTGAGAGAGAGAATGAGATAGAGAGAGCATGAGAGGGGGGAGGATCAGAGGGAGAAGCAGACTCCCTGCTGAACAGGGAGCCCGATGCGGGACTCGATCCCGGGACTCCAGGATCATGACCTGAGCCGAAGGCAGTCGCCCAACCAACTGAGCCACCCAGGCGCCCGATACTATCATTTCTATATAGAAGTGTCTTAGTCTGTTCAGGCTGCTATAACAAAAGACCATGGACAGGGTGCCTTATAACAATAGAAATTCATTTCTCACAGTTCTAGAGGCTAGAAGTCTAAGATCAGGGTGCCAGCAGGGTCAGGAAGAGCCCTCTTCTGGCTTACAGATTTTTCCTTGT